AAGTCCCGTGTCAATTGTGTGGCCAGGGTTCAAGAGTGGTTAAGGGTTATTGAGAGGCTCATTTCAAATATCCCTGCCCATAAATTTCCCTGGGGACTTTGGGAGTCACTCCCTCAACCCAGCCTTATTATGGTGATAAAATTTAGGGAGAATCACTACATATAGGCAGTCCTCAACTTACAAACCCAATTGAACCCAAAATTTCTGTTGCTAAGTGAGACATTTGTTCAATGAGCTTTGTCTCATTTTATGACCTTTCTTGCTACACCTGTTAAATGAATCACTTCAGTTGTTAAGTTAGTAACACATTTGTTAAGTGAATCTGGCTTCCCCCATTGACTTTGCTGGTCAGAAGGTCACCAAAGGCTTTCACATGATCCCAGGACGCTGCAACCATCATAAAATATGAGTCAGTTGCCAAGCGCCTGAATTTTGATTGTGTGACCATAGGGATGCTGCAATGGTCGTAAGAGTGAAAAATGGTCATAAGTTACTTTTTTCAGTGATAACTTTTTCATGATAACTTTGAACAGTCACTAAATGAACTGTTATAAGTCGATTGCCTTGAGCATTGAAAGGATAAGAGGAATTTAAATGTACTCTGTGAATGCTTGAATCACTCAGGTGCTTTGCACCAATGGTCCATTTCTCCAGATTGTAAGCCCATTGAGATCAAGATCTCTGTGTCATAGCAACAGCAATAGCACTTAGCCTTATATACTGCTTTGCAGGGCTTTATAGCCCTCTCTAAGTGGTTTACAGCGACAGCATATTGCCCCAAACAATCTGGGTCCTCATTTTACCCAGACAGATGGAAAGCTGAGTCAACCTTGAGCCTGGTGAACTGCCAAATTGCAGGCAGCCTGCAGTCAGCAGAAGTAGCCTGCAGTACTGCCTTCTAACCACTGCGCCACTGCTGTTCATCATACCAGTTCTACAGTATATACTAGTGTTAATAATGAAAGATACTGCGTATTGGCAATGATGTTGTTGTTTTTAATTCTTTTGCAACTTTAACAAGAATGATATTAAACAACAGAGATACTGAACAACAAAAAGGCAATGGGCAGGAAGTGAAACAGATTCCTGTGGGAATATTTTGACTAGCATGTTAGCTTGTCAGCTTTTGACTCATTCAACCAAAGATTGCTCTATTTGTTTTTTGGTAATATAATTACCTCAGTAGAAAGAAATGGCAATCTAGTTTTGCATTACTGCCAAGGAATTAACATAGATGAGTGTCCAGGAAGTCACCAGGAGTTGATTTTGATTTTTTAAAAATCTTTTTAGATGGTGACCTCAAAGAAATGGAGGTATTAAAATAAGATTTCATAGAAGTGTTGAAGGAACAGATTCAAGTCTGAATAGTAATTTAAGTGTTACACTCATTTGCAAAGTAGGAAGGAAAATGACAAAGATATACCATGTTTAATGTCATAACTATTTTCCTTGTTTGTTTATCCAGGATAAAAATAAAGGATAGAAAAAATATTGCAACGCAGCTTCTTTAGCAGAGCTAGCCCAATTTTAAATTTATATCTCATTTAGCAATTGTAGCTCCGTGGCATCAATAGTGTACTTTTTCCCAATTGGACATCATCTAAATGTATTGGATTACATCATCCTTGGCAAGCATGGCCCATGAAAGCTGTAATCCAACATATTTGGAGGGCTTTACATTGGAGAACACAAAATATTGTGTGACTCAAAAACCATGCTATCTAGCTTAATCTTATTATTTCTGTATGTATTTGTTAATCTTGGAAGAGGCAGTTATATTCTTGTTCACAAAATGAAAAATGGTCATCCCTTGCCTCCTTGGAGATACCATTATGACATCAATAAAGAAGAATTGTGAAAGTGTCATGAGCTAAATAAAAAAGGCAAAGCATACTTAAAGGGATTTCTACATATAGAATTCAATAGTCATGGCTTTTCTTCCCACCAAATAACACTAATACTAATTTCTATTAATAATAGTGGTGGAATTAATGAATTTTTATTTATTTATTTTGCACTTTATGCCAGTTCTCCTGCTCTAAACTTGGAATTCTAAAACAGGGGTCTCCAACCGTGGCCACTTTAAGACTTGGGGACTTCAACTTCCATAATTCTCCATAATTCTGGGAGTTGAAGTCCCCAAGTCTTAAAGTGGCCAAGGTTGAAGACCCCTGTTCTAAAACAAACGTTGTCCACTCTATCCAAAACAATGCCTCGCAAATTCCTTGCAGTGAGGGAGTCAATTCATCCATATAGAGATGCTCCAGACTAAAAATACAGAATCTTTGGATGGCTGCTGGCAAAACTAATTATTGTTTGAAGACACAAAAGTCACAGTAGGCAATGTGCTGATGCAAAGTGGGTAAGGCCTTGGAAAACTGCTTTACAGGTTTTTATATCTATAAATGGTATCAGAGATCTTAGGGCTGCTGTATTCCAACAAAGTCCAAAGGGCTGTAAAAGCAATTATTTGAATAGGTACACACACCTTCTGCAGCCTTGGACTGCCTGTGTGTTTGCTCCAAATTGCCTGTGCTTTCTTATTTGCATTAGCTGGATGAAATCTGTCATATAGGACTCGGCCGGTACTTCCCAAATCTGAATAAATTACCCCACTTTGAGTAAAAATGGGTTTTCTTTGGGTAATGGCACATGAAAAAATTACCCATCACAACAGGGTAAATTAACTTAAAGATTGCCATACATAACATATTTGAAAATCTCCCAAAGTTTTCCTATTAAGATGAAAATCAATGAAATTACCAATGGTAATTTGTTGAAATGACCCAAAATCATTCAGTGACATTTTTGTGGTACAAGTAGTCCTCGAATTATGGCCATTTGTTCAATGACTGTTCGAAATTATGATGGTGCTGAAGGAAGAGGGCTTATGACTGGTTCTCAGAGTTCAATAACACTTTTTAATAAGTGGGTTTTTGGATTATGAAGGAAATGTTTGGGAGCATGACTTTGAGAGGAAGAGATGCTGCCTAAGCAATGATCAGATAAAAAGGGGAAGAGCCTGAAACAACTTACGGGGCAAAGAAAACAAATTAAAAAGAATCTGCCCTAATGTATCAGACTGTTAAAAGTGACCGTGGGACATTTGTATTTTCAGACTTGCACATTATTGTTAACGTAGCCTTACAATAAAATAGAACGAGCTCATCTGGTTGTGTTTTCTGTCTGGGAGGACTGACCCTGGACTAGACTAACAGAGCCCATCACAGGCACAGCCTGCCACCCACTTGTCATAAGCTAGAAACAGGCTGATCCTTCTCTTTACTCTCCTTTTCTTGGCATAAGAGATTTAAACATGCACTAATGGGTACATGTTATACCTTCCTTAGATACAACATGTATTGCTATAGTAAAAGCAGGACAGGCCTTGAGAAAAACACATGTGGTGTGTCCAACTTGCATTCATTTAACATCTACTTTTAATGCCCTCAAAGTGGAATATACATTTGCTACCAAAAGCAAGTTTGTGGAAATGAAGATACATTTTGTAGGAGTTTAGCATATAAGGGAAATCAGAGCTCTATGTAAGTATATAGGGGAAGAGCTAGGGCAATTTAAAATCTGAATCTATATGTTTATATTGAGGATTAGAATATCTACAAATCTGAGGTTGATCTGATGTAGAATTAACAATAGTAATGTATTAATTAGTCTTGGGTAGGCCAAAGGGAGACAGTGTGTTGATCCCCAAACATACAGGACTTCGATTCATGTCAGCTCCAGTAGCATGGCGAATGGCAAGGACACTCTGAGTTGTAATCCAAAACATCCAGAAGGCTCCATATTGACTGTCTCTCGGTTAACCTACCCTGCCATAGATGATTTTCTATTACATGGAGACAACACAGAATGGTAACACTTATAACAAGGAACCAATGTATAAAGATTAAACAAAATCACAAGACAATATATTGGCAGCATACAGAAGTCATACAAATAATACAGAGGAAAATTACAACAGGGTTCAGCCAGTACGTTGGGTAATAAACAAGAGGATTTAGTACGATAAGGAGGAAAACATTCACAAATCACTTTTCATAGCACCAGAAGCCCATTTTATAAAATACACTATTAAATTATATGTATTAATATTTATTATTTTATACAGTGCCGTATTCTTGTGCATGGCTGTTTAACAGATAATCCCCATGACAAACAGCTTTTTGCTCCCAAGGACCCGACAATTCAAAGTTTGGAAGAATTGGGAATGAACTGAATGAGAGTCAGTAAAGAGCTATAAGTACTGTCATAGCCAGGTACCCTCCAGCTGTACTAAACAACAACTCTGGTCACCTCTGCCAGCACAGCCAAGGGGAATTGTAACCCAGCACATTGGTAGGGGCCTGGCTGGCCAAGACTGTTCTACTCTTACTTTGCCTTTGACCTGTGCAAGCTCTTAGTTTTTCAGCTCGTTTTACATTTCCATCACAACCTTGCTGTAGGCAAGGTTATGCTGTGTTTTTGCTTTTCCTTTTGCATTTTTGCGTGGCTGTCCCTTTTTCATTTATAATAAAATTACTTTACTCAAAACTGTCTGTTTTTGTGTTTGTGCACACACACGCACACAAACACAGTTTTGACCAAAATAATTTAGTCTGTGTATACAACGTAACAGTCAAGATTTTCCCCACCATCATATGTGTGTGTGTGTGTGTGTGAGAGAGAGAGAGAGAGAGAGAGAGAGAGAGAGACAGGGAGAGAGAGAAAGAGAGAGTAATGGTAATGGTTATGGGTTGAAATAACATATAGCTGCAAATTTTTAAGAGTGGATGTATTGCTTCAAGGATAAATTAATGTGTACATATTTTTCTTTCAAAAATGTGATCCTGCTTTGAAAATGATTTTCAAAATACATTTAGATGGTGACATGGGATCATGGTTTTACTGTAATAAATTTCAGAATTTAAGGCCATATTTTTTGAAGAATGGTGGAATTTAGTAGTAGTAGTAATAATAGTAGAGTTTATGGTGTGTCTTTTAGCAGAAAAGAAAGTGTATTTATAAACATTAGAACTAGCATATTTTGTAAGTCTAGATTCTTGTATCTCTAATGGCAGATTGGCTGATTCCTTATTTCCATGTCATGAAGGATTCCCTTCTGATTTTTCCAAATCTGTTTTCTATTAAATGTACAGCCAAGTCAGCCAACAGTCAGATTTTTCCCTTCCATTTAGGTGGCAGTGGTACTTGCTGGAGTTGATTGGTAAGTCGTAGGAACACAAAAATGCTGGCAGAAATCCTTTCAAATCTAATTATGGGAACTGGAAGGAAAACAGTTAAAAAATGATGGCTACCCCAAACATCTCTGGGCACAGTATTGCCAACTCCACAGCAGCGATCCTATGTACAGTTAGACCTGCATAAACCTCATTCACTTATAAGGGATTTATACTGTTATAATTGCTCACAGGGGACGAGGTCTAAGAAAGAATGTGCTTCCACACCCACTTATTGTAAGTAGCCCAATAAGACCTCAGAAAGCCAACATATATAGGACTGGATGAAATGATTCAACTCAACCCACATAGAGAATATCTTAGGCATCATGAAACAGCTAGAAATTAATATATTGATTTGTTCTTTTAATACATCATTTTTTTTTTGGTTTCAGGTGTTTTAGGTATTCAAGCTTTGGCTAAATGTTCTACTATCTCAAGACTTCTAAAGTTAGTTTTGTAAAAGGGGAAAGAAACATCGTAATGGAATACAAAACTAAGAACAAAACAGTGAGGACTGAAAACACAATTCATATAATTCCAGAGAAACTCCAATCCAGAGGAGTTAGCAGTAGAGAAAAGTGTAAAATGACAAGACGAGACTAAGTCTCGTCCCAAGGTGCAGATTTTGAAATCTTAGGCTAAATGTATTGAGATCAAATGTCCTTTGAAGGACATGGTCTGAATGTATCATGCAGATATGAGATCCTGCAAGCACTTATGCACACATCATTAGTGTTTTGGGTGGGAGGGAAAGCAAGGACATGGACTTATCAGCGATATATGGACACAAAAGTACTTGCAGAATTCAAATACTGGAACTTGTACATTCTCACCTTAGTACAAAAGATGGAAACGTATAAATTCAGTGCCGTTAGATGGAAAGTCCTCTTCAAGACAGACAAAAATGGTAAGTCTCCAGAGTTATCAATGTGGATGAATCATAACAGTCATGATCTATATAATTTTTTTTCCCTCTGGGGAAATTCAATACATTCCCTCCCCCCGTCACAGTGTACATGATTTTAATTTGCCTGGCTAACTTCAGGGAGAGTGTTTATGCACACCTGGTTTTTCTATAGCTTAGCTGGCCTTAGCTATAGAAATTATAAAGCATTTCCACTGACTAATATGTACACAGGATAATTAAAGGAGATAGATGTAGTTCTCTTGGGTGCTGTTCTGTTCCAGTGCCAGTTTAGTCTTCTGTAAGACGGCATTTCAGGTTTGTGGGAGGGGTTCTGCCACTTTGCTGCTGCTCCAGCTGCTGCTGCCACCGCTGTCACCTGGGGGTTCCTAAAAGGGAAAGAGAAAAGGGAGGAAAACAAAATCAAAGGAAGCTTGGGTTATTCACTTCTGGGATTTCTGACGGCTCAGCGGATTTTGCTAGATGTCTGCAATGGTTACAATGATCTTGTGATGTCCCTCTGAGGCAGGGGTCTCCAACCTTGGCAACTTTAAGACTTGTGGACTTCAACTCCCAGAATTCCTCAGCTAGTAAAGCTGGGATTTGAAGTCCACAAGTCTTAAAGTTGCCAAGGTTGGAGACCCCTGCTCTGAGGGACCTCACATTCTACTATGTTTGATGGGGCCTATTCCTAGCCAGGCGTGTATAGAATTGCAGCTCTTTGTTTCTGACATTCACAGATTGCTCTGTTAACCATCTAATCCTGAAAATGAATATCAACAACATGAAAAGAAATGTTTACTAGGGTTTTCTTCTTTTTGTTCTTCAAGAGTTTATATTCTCCTCCCAATTTGCCTAAAGAGAGCTTCATCAGGAAACACTGATCTCATCCAGATTTTTAAAGACGAATCTCAACATTATTATTTATAACATGTTTATCACACCTTTTTATCCAAACAACTCTAGAGGGTATAACACCTCCTCCATTGCCCTTCATCTTCATGGAATCCACCCCACCCCCCCAAAAAAAACTTTTTCTGGTCATAGAACTTGTTACTTTAAAAAAAAAAATTTGGAAACTCCTGCTGCCTGGCTCTCAAAACACAAACATCTCCAGGGGGGATGAGTCTGCCTACCGAGTTGAGGTGGACAGGCTGCTTTTGTGGTGTGGACACAATAACTTGGTCCTCAACACCAATAAGACCAAGGAGCTTATAGTGGACTATAGAAGGAACACATCAGACATCCAGCCTTTGCTTATCAATGGAGACCAAGTGGACCAAGTGGCCAGTTTTATGTTTCTGGGTGTTACCATAAAAGAGGACCTGACCTGGGATGCTCACATTGCAGCCCTGGTCAAAAGGGCCCAGCAGAGATTATACTACCTGAGACTTCTCAGAAAACAACAACTGAATGAAAAACTGCTGGTGACCTTCTACCACTGCACCACGGAGAGCTTTTTAACTTACTGCACGTCTGTATGGTTGCCCTCTCCCTTCTTTGGAAGAGCTTTATAGCTCCCACTGCCTTAAGAAAGTTCAAAACATTCTCAAAGACCCATCTCATCCTGGAAACCTGGGAATCCTGGGAATAGTTTTTTGGACTATTACCATCTGGCAGATGGTACAGAATAATAAAAACAAGCACAAATAGGCTGAAAAACAGCCTCTATCCCAGGGCAGTAGCTCTTTTGAATTCTACTGTATAAATGCAGTTTTGGTGTGGTGTTCTCAATGTGTGGAGTGTGAAGGATGTGTGTATGTTTACTTTCATGGTCATGATGTGCACTGAAGATGGTGTTTGATTTCGTTGTACAAGGTGCAATGACAATAAACTAAACTAAACTAAACTAAACTAAACTAAACTAAACTAGAAAGTGAGAAGTCATCATGACCCCAAATATCTCCTAGGGTTTGGGAGCTTTTTAATGTCAGCTAATCAGCCTTGCCCCTTTTCTATATTTTTTAAAAATGGCTATGGATTCCTAATTGCTGGCCACAGTTTGAAAAATGAAGTATCTTTCTGGTTGCTGAAAGATGGATCTGAGAGGGAAGAGTTAACTCCATCTATGGCAGCTGGAAGGCAGAGCTTAACTTTCTCATATCCCATTGAGAAATCCTCTCACTTTCAGATAAGTGCACTGACTTTAGCTCAATGCACTTCAAGTTCTTTTTCAATTGAATAATTCATTGCAACAGAAAAAAAAGCCCACCAGTGGACCAGAAATGGAAGGAAATGGAAGAACACTTAGCAAACACAGCCAGTAGTTAGTATTATCATGGGTGAACTATAACAGTATTCCCACACTGGAACAATAGCCATTACAGTACCTTCTGTATAGGCAAACATGTTTATCTTAAAATGTTTAATAAATATACATGGATCTGCCCTACAATCATCTGCCGTTGGGATTTCTTCTGTTAGAGCTGTTGAGATGGGCTGTGCTGCTGGAGAGAAGCTGTTCCTGGCCAAAGCAACACAGCCTGCTGGTGATAAATGATATAACCTGCTGTTTTGTAAAATAGGGGTCCCCAACCCCCCGGATGCAGCCCACTACTGGGCCTTGAGCTGTTTGGAACTGGGCTGCAGAAGTGGTGGGAGAGTGTGCATGCATGCATCCCCACTTGCGGAAGCAACAGGTGAGTGTGTGTGCATGCTCTCCATTTGCACGAGCACAAATGGAGCCTCACAGATGCACGGGCTTGCCCACCACTCATGTGGACCACCTCCCCTCCATCCTGGAAAGATTGGGAACTCTGTTGTAGGAGACATAGGCCATTGGCTTTTCACCCTTCTACAGCACGTTCGAGATATGGTGCCAGCACACCACACATGTTTCCTTCATTCTGAGTTGCTTCTCTTTGTATTTGAAGTTGGGGAATGGCAGGAAACTTTCTCTTGGTTTTATATGAATTCTGTATCTTCTGTGAGTCTGCTGTACCATGCAGGTCATCTGCTGACCTGTGAATGACAGCATAAAATTGAGGAATGTTTTCTTCGGTTCTTTTGCCTTGCCTGCAGTAGTGCATTTGTTTGGGCAGGCTGGGAACCATTAATTGTTTCTCTAACTGCTTCCTACCCGAAAAAAATTGGACTGCTATCATTGGGCTGAAGGAGAGAAACTGGTCTTATCATGTACTTATTCTCCTTTCAGGTTTCTATACAATATTGGCCATGTTTAATACTTAGGACTGCGTCAATAGACTCTTAGTTCATTTCCTGAAAAGAGCTTAATGGTGGACTACCTCCCAGTGCTGTCCCATCTCTGGAAACCATGGATCTGGCTGCAAATTGTAAGCCGTCCATAGAGATATCCGCCAGAAGCTTTTTGTTGATGTTATCTCTTAGGCATCTGGTTAATGTGTGAAATTGCCCTCTATGTTAAAACCAGGATAGGAAAAGAATCTAAGCAGATGATTCCCAGGATATATCTTTTTGGTTCATTCCCAAAGCAGAAATCCTGCTGCCAGAAAAACCAGCCCTAGAAATGGAAGGAGGAAATGGTGTTTGTTTGTTAAATGTCAGATTTCCCACCACCAGGGTCAGAGTTCTCTCTCCCTCTGCAGATGAAAACTCAGAATATCCTATATCATCTCTGAGATTTATAGTGCAAAGCAAAATGATGTTGAATAATTCATTTGCCTTCTGTACCTGTTGATTAAATCTTCTCATACTATATCTATAAAATGGCATGATTAGCTTGGCTGAGTTGTAAGGACGACCTTAATAAAGCTGCTAAATATTTACCAATTTGAAGGGCCAATATCTTATGAAAACAGTCAAGAACCCTTCCTTTTGAGTAGGGAAGCATTGTGTGTCCAGGGAAAGAGAAAGACGGAGGAATTAGATGAGGCAATTAAAATGACAGCTTGGCAATTATTTTATACTTAAAGGCTCTGGGGTACCTTGAGGGCTGTTGGCAGGATTTTTGCATGAAGACAGAAACAGAAATTTTCCATATTCTATCCCTCTGTGAAATGTGAAGATTGATGCTGTGTAATTTCTGGTCATTAACCAGTTCCACACGTGTGGAGAACAGAACAGGAAGTAAATAGCAAAAGACAAATTCTCTCCTCCCTTTTTATCTTGTGTTGGGATTTTCTTTTTTTAGTTAGGGTTGAAACCTGTCCCTGGAGATGCTTTTTCCCAAAATGTTAATATATATCTGGATCCCACATACTCCACTTCAGTCTTCACCACCTAATATTTAATCTTTTTCTTGCCAAACACTGAGGGAATTAATCTTGGTCCTGACAGAATTTATATTAAGCATTCCTCAAATCAAATTGTTTTGAGCAAATGGCAAAGAGACAATGAAGTCAGTTCTTGCTTTAGAATCACAGCAGGAAATTTCCTTCCTTCCTTCCTTCCTTCCTTCCTTCCTTCATATAAGAATTTAGAAGAAAATCGAAGTCCTTGGATGAAAGCAACTGAGCTTGACTGTTAAAACCAAGACCATTTTAGGGGTGTTCATTATATTAAACCATCTAATTTTGAATTGGATTGTGTGGGAATATTATTTGGGAAGGATCTGGTGCTTTCCAATAACAATACAGATAGTCATCCTCACAGTATGACCATTTTCTGAGAGACCACTTGATGTTACAAGTCACTGAGCAAACAATACTTATGCTAGTCACCAAATTTCCAGTGTCCTGTGAGTAAAATTTTGGCTCTTGGCAGCTCACTTGCACTTATGATTACAGGGGCATTTCAACTCCCCTCTCCATCTCAGCTCTTTTGGATACCCTGCACAGCAGCACTGTTATTGATGTAGATACCTGGGGCCTTTAGCAGTCTCAGCCACATGCCACCAGCCCAGGCTACTACTTCAGCCAAGAAGCACCACCTGAAACTCTCACTGCAGTCAGCGGCCCCAGCTCCATAATGCAAAGCCCCAGCCACTCTGCCATCCTGCACTCTGCAGGGCCTGTTGCACCCAACAAACCTTCACTGTTTTCTTTCCACTGGTGATAAGTGGCATCTGGCCTGTGGGCTGGCTGTGCCAAGCTTTCTTCCCAAGTCCACTTGCACTGTTCCCCAAATAGCACATGCTGTTCTCCAAATATCATGCACTGCTTTTTGTGATGGAAGGCCTCCGAAGTTTTCCAAAGGCTTTCTGAAGCATTATGAGAATGGCCCTTGCCATTCAGAGGATGACAGATGTGTTATTTGGAGAACAATGTGAGCAGCCTCAGGAAGAAATGGCCAGCAGATATCTCACATAGGAAGACAGTAAAAGTCAGCTGGGCACAGCAAGGCCTGAGGAGTGCAGGGCAGCTGGGTTGACTGGGGCTTTGCACTGTGGCATTGGGATGGCTAGCCACAGTGTGGTGCTTGAGTGATGCTAAGACTAAAACAGAGCCCAAATGATGGTGGCAGCTGGCTG